TCCACAACATATCTTTTTATTACCCATGCCCAGAAGGAACCTCCTCTACCACCCATCCCAGGAGCTCATGCACAGTGGCTTTCAATCAGTATCCATTCTATTGGAGAGAAAGGGAAGGTTCCCCTTTGCTCTCCGACCATAGACTGATAAATGAGGAGAAAAGATCTACAGTATAAAGATATTCATTACTCACAAGAAATAAGTCCCTCCCCACAAGCCCATAGTGACTCCAAAGCTCACAAACCCTGTTCCAAAGGGGAGGGGAACCATGGGACTGTAGGAAGTTTTAGGGGAATACTAAATGATTTCTAGAGTAACCAGTTAGTTTAAAGAAACAAATAGTGGCCAGGGACAAAGTCCATTGGGTCCCTCAGAATAGACAATGAAACAGTGCAATAGACTGTGAAGTGGAGGGCAATGGAATGTGACAAATGTTTCTAAGGTATGTTGACAGACTTTGTGTTTTTGGTTTTGGTGTGATTAATCGCTTTTTGTTGTTATTGTTTAGTCTCACTTTGTAGTCCAACCTATCGTGCAGCTTATTATACAGGCCAAGCTGACCTCAGACTTGCAAAGTTCCTCCTACCTCAGCCTCTAGATGCTGGGATTATAGGCATGCTCCACCATGCCCTACTCAGACCTCAGTCTTCCTCACTGCCCTGTGAGTTTAGTTAATGAAGACTCAGAGAAGGGGTCAGAGACGATTGTTTCTTATTGCTAGGACCCAACTTGACACAGACACACAGCCTAAGAGCAGAACCTCTTCCAGAATCTATTGTCTTCTACCTTCTTCCTTCAGTTCAAAATAATCAGCCTTTCAGGACACGGCCTTTTGGGATGGCAGTCCCTGAAGTCCTTCAGTCTTCTCTTCTGCCCATAGCAGGGAATGTATAGATTATGGCGACAACTCTTTGTTGTCATGACTAGAGAGAATGCTACTGCTGTCTGTTGGCTGGAGGACAAGGTGAAGCTAAAATATCCCACTGTGTAGAGAAGAGTCCCCACATCAAGGACCTGTCTCTGCTCCAAATGTCAGTGCATGGGATCGGGGATCCCTGCTCCAGTCAATAGGGAGGTGTCCTGGGCTGTTTATGGGGTGCAATCTTTCTTTGAAAACATTTGTTTGCTTATGGTGGTGCTAGGACTGCACAGCAGGAAGGATGGAGGGAAAGGCTGGACTTGGGGGCGAGCTGCCTCTTCCTGTCTGCCCTGAGCCTTAGAGAGCCACACTCTTCAGGAGCAGGGCGTAGGCTTCTCCATCACAGCCGCGGCCGCCCCCCACCCCCACCCCGTGAAGCTGGGATGCTGAAGCTGGGATGCAGAAGGGAAGCCTTCCAGACCTCAGAACTGTCTCTTCAGTTTGCCAGGTGCGCCTATGTTATCATCCTCATGGCCATCTACTGGTGCACAGACGTCATCCCGGTGGCCATCACCTCCCTCCTGCCTGCCTTGCTCTTCCCACTTTTGAAGGTACTGGACTCCAAGCAGGTGAGTAAGCTGAGCAAGAGCTGGTGGCTTCTGGTCCTCCCATGTACTTTCCTCCTTCTCTGAGCCCCTCTGAGCTTCCAAGGCCTAGGGATAGCTACAGAAGTCTAGTAGTGGATCCCTCGAGGACAAGTACGGAGACAGATCCTTCCAAGCTGCCTTTGAAATCAGTATCTGGCTTACTTAGCTGTCTAGGGGACTTGGGTAGCAGCCTTGGCCCCAAGTAGTATGTGATTGGTGATTGCCCTGATGGGGCACCCCTGCCACCCTTCAGGTGTGTATGCAGTACATGAAGGACACCAACATGCTCTTCCTGGGAAGCCTCACTGTGGCCGTGGCTGTGGAGCGCTGGAAACTTCATAAGAGAATTGCCCTGAGAATGCTGCTCTATGTGGGGACCCAGCCCTCACGGTAAGTACATCTTCTCTCTTTGGCCACAGAGGAAGATCTCTGCTTAGATCTTTGGGATTTAGGAGAGGAGAGGCTCTATGTAAGATAGTGGGAATCTTCTAGATCTATGTAGAAAGCTAATCTGCCTACATGTGGGGCTTGGCCTACCACACCCTGAGTCTTGCTAAGGCAGACCAAATGCTAAATGGGAATTTCTTAGACCCACAGCTGAGTTTGGGGTCTCTTTCTGGCCCACCAGCTGGCAGTATAGATATCAGCAATGTTTGTGAGAAGAGGGGTCACAGAGAATCTATATAGTGACTTTTCTCATGTCTGTGACAAAATTCCTAAGAGGAAAAACTTAAAGGAAGAAAGAATTACTTTAGCTTATAGCTTTGAACGGTGACCAGTCCATTGTTGATCAGTCTTATATACCTCAGTAGAATGCCATGGTGGCAGAAGTGTGTGGTAGCAGAAATTTACCTACATCAGACAGGAAGCAAGAGAGGGAGCCAAGAGCCAGAGGTCATGGCAAGATACACCACAAGGACAAGTCCCCATGACATACTCCTTCTGGCTAGGCCCCACCTCTTTTCTATTATTTGAGAACTTCATAGGTGCACATACCGTGTTTTAATCAAACCCATCTCACCCCCACCCCCACCCCAGTTCCTCTGCTATCCGCCATGTGCCCTGTGGTGTTGTAGGGATGATACAAATGATACAGGAGGAACCAACCGCTTTCTGATTGGACTCAAGGACTTCTCCAAAAGATGGAACTCATGTCTATACCATTAGCTGGGCTCCAAGCATGTGGCTGGCTAGGCCATAGGCTCCGCTTCTTCTGTTTTACCACCTCCCAGTAATGCCGTCACATTATAAATCCATTGAGGGTTTAATCTGTTCATTCACTATGCTGGAGTCCTCATGATCTCCTGGTCTGTCCTTCACAGTCTCACTCAGAAGTATACTTTCTGACCAGGCCTTCCTTAATCCAGTCCAGCTGATGATGCGAATCAACTGTCACAGAGAGGAAGGAGGGCAGGGAAGACGGGTGTGGGGGAGAAGAGAGCTGCCCAGCCAGCCACCCCGCGTTGGCACACCTGGTCTTGAGTTGACAGGAAGGGTGGCTTCCAGCTCCTAGTTGTGCCCTGGGATGTGGCACTGGGACTCTGGCTTTCCTCTCTGCCCCCTCCTCTGCAGGCTGATGCTGGGCTTTATGTTTGTCACGGCCTTCCTGTCCATGTGGATCAGCAATACTGCCACCACAGCCATGATGATGCCCATTGTTGAGGCCATGCTGGAGCAAATAGTAGCCACGCACGCAGCTTTGGATACCTGCCAGGGGACACTGGAGCTGTCGGACAAGGCCAAGGCCGGCGAGTTTCCAGGTACACGCGGGCTTAGCACAGCCGTGGCCTTCCCTGCTGTTGTCGGATGCTAAGGCTGCTTCCTGTCTCCCGGTCTCCCTGTACCATTCCCTAAGCGTGCATAGAGGGGGAAAAAATAGGGAAATAGTTTTTAGTATTGGGGTTTGGGTCATCACATAAAAGAAAGGTCCTTTACGCGTGCTTAGAGCATTGCATTATTTAGCCAGAGATCATAACTGGTCCCTTGATAAAAAGTATCGAGTATTCATTTGATAATTCACTTAGGCATCATTGAGCACCCAATGGATGCTCCTCACCCTTGCTACTCTTGTTTTCTTTGGGGCTGCCTTCTCGGCTCTCCTTAAGCAGGTCACCCATTGCTCTATTCCTAGTAGGGGTTTGCTTCCTACTAGGCTCGGGACTTAGAAGATGCAGGATAGGTTCCGCTTCACCCTCTGCCTACTCGCTCTTCTTCCCCAGGACTCTGCACGGGAGGAGCTCAGGAACTGTGGCAACCGCCTGGTTTCTAGGCCCTGGGGGAGGTTCTGGCCACACGGACGTGACCAGGCACACTCTGGCCACTGACTCTTGGTGGAGCCCAGTGGGATGACCTAAGTGGGCATGATTGCCTAAGCCAACTGCTTCGGGAGAAGCCTTAGGCAGGCTGGATAGCATGGTGGCTCAGAGAGCGAGGGCCCCACTAGGAGGAGAGGCATGTGAGGTAGACTGAGGCACCCTTGGATTCAGGGAGTGGCTTGAGCAACAAACAGGAAGGAACCAGGAAATGGGGACATATGCCTCAAGTTTCTGGGCTTGGCAAGTATGTGGAGGATACCTAGGGAAGCCATGCGAAGGGATTGTGGGAAGGCAAATGGGTCCTGACTGTGCTTTGGGGCTGGAGCTGTGGAATACATGTGTACCTGGCAAGGTGAGTGCCTGACCTCATGTTAGTGGCAGAGTAAAGAGCTTTGAATGGCTGGGTGGCCTTCACAGCGGACATGGCTAACAGCCCCATGTCCACCCTAGGAAACCAGGTGATGTTTGAAGACATCACTGTGCAGAAGCAGGAAGATGAAGACACAAAGAACATGTACAAGGCTATGCACCTCTGTGTGTGCTATGCAGCCAGCATTGGGGGTACGGCCACCTTGACCGGGACGGGACCCAACGTGGTGCTCCTGGGCCAGATGCAGGAGTGAGTCATGGCTGTGCCTTCAGGAGACATCAGCATGGGTTTCTGGGGCTGGGGGTGCTTACTCAGCTCTCTTTTCCTCCTGTCTTGGCTCTGGAGCCATCAGTCTAGTAGGGAGGGAGGATGAACCCATATAGTCTCTGTGTCCCTGCATTCCTGCACCCACTAAGAGTCCTCCCAGGGAATGGAGACCTGGTGTCCTGGAGCTCATGGACAAGGCTGCTTTCTGCCATGGGGCAAGTCCAACTTTTTCCAATGGCTCAGGGCTTCTATCAGACAGGGAGTGTGGCTCGGACTCTGCGCTAATATCGTAGGAGACGACAGTGGGTTGAATTCACAGAAAACGGACAGCTCTAAAAGAGCCCTTCCCAGCTCACTAACACTGGCCAGGGTCCTGTGATCTTTGGGGTCTATAGATGGCGGAGAGAGTTGGGGTTGGGCTACCCATCGCCTTGCAGTCTCCTTCACTATAGTCCCACTAATTAAGTATCCCGCTGAGGCCTCGAGGGCATTTACAAGGGTAGCCTAGAAGTGTCCATCTTTGACCGCAAAGGGACATAGGCTGTGAGGATCCCATGTGTGGACTCTGCCTTGTGCTGGGTGGGCTTGGAAGACCGTGGAGGGGAGAGAAGTCAGGGCCCCACCATGGGCTTTTCATGGTCTGCGGGAGGTGCCAGGTACAGGGCTCTTCAGGCAGCCCGGCAAATAATGTGTTAACTGAAGTATGTACACATTATAATGGTAAGGAGCAGAAAGGGAACGGTGCCTCTTTTGTGTAGATAAGAGCTCTGGACAGAGGTGGGAGGGCAGCTGGCACTGAGCGGAGGTATAAAGGGGAGGAGTAGGCAGGGCAGCAGCCAGCCTGTCAGGCCAAGAGCTTGAGATTTAACAGCCAGGGTCTTTGGATCCTGAAAGTGTTCTCTGTGATCACAACCCTAGGACTTTCCCTTAAATTCCATTGCAAAAAACAGCCTCCCCCGGGCTGAGTGGAGGAAGGCCTGAGTGGGATTTGATGTCCTCTAGCTAAACAGGGCTAGAAGGGAGCTTAGGGAGGCAGAGCCTAGGTTGGGAGGAAGGCAGGGCTTGGAGAACATCTTTCCAGTCCACAGAGAAGTCCCCCGCAGAAACACACCCAGTGAGGTTTCAGAGGGATCCCTGAAGCTGTCAGTCAGATCGTATGCACGTGTGGCAGAGGTGTGCTTTTTCCAGAGGCTGGGCTGTACTTCCATGAGACATGCAGCAGGGTCTGTTTCCCACAGAGCTGTCCCTAGTCATTCGTTCTTCGGTCTTATCTCTTGCTGAGGCCATGTTCTGGGGTCCCCAACCATGATGAACTCTGGTGCCTGGACCCATCCGTCCCTCAGGGTTCAGCTGCCTGGCCTGCTCCCCACAGCTCAGCATGGCAGTGGAGGTACAGACCAGCCTTTCTCCTTTCAGATTGTTTCCTGACAGTAAAGAAGTCCTGAATTTTGCTTCTTGGTTTGGATATGCCTTCCCCAACATGCTGATCATGCTGATGCTGTCCTGGCTGTGGCTCCAGTGCTTTTACATGGGATCCAAGTAAGTGTGGGGCCGCTCGCTGGCTAGCATCTGGTGGTGCCAGGCTCCTGCACCAAGCCCCTCAGCCCCGGGCCAGTCTGCAAAGTTCTCCCACCAGGCCCCGTTTCTCCAGTCTGACCTGCCGGCTTGCTCTTCTGTTTTTGTCATGCCTGGAGGCTGGCTCCAACTTTGTATGTGCTCTTCCTTCAGCCCGGAGGGAGAGTTCTACCTTTCGCCAGCTCCAGGGCTGCCCTTTTCCCAGCTTTCCCTCTCTGCCACTCCGTTAGAGTAACGCATTTTTCTGAGCCACCGCTGGGTGTGTCCCAGCCCCGTGATTTGACTGACACCTGTCCTCACCCTCTAACGCTCCCCCTTCCCCTTGACTGTGAACCAGGGTCCTCTCTGACTCCTACATGTCTCCCGGTCAGGGAACAAGAGCAGGTGTGCCATCTCGGAGGGCTAAAGTAATTGAAAGAGAAGGCTGTCTCCACGTGCCAAGCCAACACCGCCGGCTGGACACATTACCACTTAGTCACGTGGGTCTGGTAGGCTAGGTCACAGCAGTCCTCTTGATCAAGTCTGTGTTAGTCTACGTTCAGACCGTCACTAAATGCCTGGGGTGTTCCCAGCAGTGTAGCAGGCCTGGAAAGTTTGCCTTCCTATTCCCAGCACACTGTCAAGTTCACCCAGAGTCACCCTTGATGCAGTCGGACTTTGGACGGAAACTATGACGTGGGGCTGACAAATAGCTTCCCCCTCCCCACCTCAGCCAGGGTTTCTCTGTGAACCCTGGCTGTCCTGGAGATCTGCCTGCCTCTGCCTTCCCCAGCGCCCGGCTAAGCTGTTGTTTTAAAAGATATAAATGTACCAGCGGCACAAAGGTGACCCTGCCACCCTGGGAGGGAAGACAGTTAGGAACCACCAGGGAGCCTGAACCCAGAAAAAAAAATGGGTGTCTCTGACCCCAGGGAAGAGACTTGGTAGAAAGGGCCTAGGAACCTCTGACTTCATGGGGGGAAATGAGGCATTTAAAAAAAAAATCCATTTTTCTTCTGAAAGAGGAACCATTTTCACAAAATTACATTTTCAAATTGCTACACATATTCAGAGGAATTTCAACAGCATGTACTAGCATCAGGCAGTGTTTCCCACCAGCCACCCACCCTCCCTGTGTCCAGACTCCTCTCCCCCCCCTAAAAAAAAGGGGAAGCATTGATAAGAGCTCTCCTCACTCAGCTTCTTGAATGCGCACCAGGACTCATGTCCTGCTGTTCACTCACAGCCATCCGGCAGCGGCGGGCCGATCAGCAGACGGTCCCTTGAACCCGCTGCAGGTTGACTGACATCTGTGTTGCCTCATGAGGAAGTAGGAAATAAAGTGACTATCAGGTGTGGTGGTACAAGCCTGAAATCCCAGCCTTCAGGAGCCTGAGGTAGGAGGATTGTGAGTTCCAGACTCGCCTGGACTACACAGTTAGACCTTGTCCCAAAGATAAAAACATAGGGCCAGCAATGGCCCAGGCAGTCAGTGGGGAAAGGCACTTGCTGCCAAGCCTGATGATCTGAGTTCCATTCCCCAATACTCACATGGTTGGAGAGACCTGATCCTCCAATTTGTCTTCCATACGTGCATTGTAGCGCGCGCACACACACACACACAGAGGCATGCAAGCATGCATACACAAATAAATGTAATAGATAGATAAACAGCCCCCCAAGGGGCAAGGGTGTGGCCCAATGATAGAGCATTTCCATGGTACAAGGCTCTGGATTCCATCATCAGCACTGCCAAAAGAAAAGAATAGAAGGAAGGAAGGAAGGGAGGGAGGGAGGGAGGGAGGGAGGGAGGAAGGAAGGAAGGAAGGAAGGAAGGAAGGAAGGAAGGAAGAGAGGGAGGAAGGAAGGAAGAGAGGGAGGAAGGAAGGAAGGAAGCAGAGGAGGAAGGAAGGAAGGAAGGAAGCGGAGGAGGAAGGAAGGAAGGAAGGAAGGAGAAAGAGAGAGAGAGAGAGAGAGAGAGAGAGAGAGAGAGAGAGAGAGAGAGAGAGAGACGCATTGCATGCCAGGCACTATTTTAAGCACTCTACATTTATGAATTAATCTTCATGACAACCTGTGAGGTAAGGGCTAGTACGGTTATTGCCAGTGTACAGATAAAACGATTGGAGAGGTTATACGGCCCGTGCCACATTGTACAGCACTGAAGTGGTAGGCCTAGGATTGGAGTCCAGTCAGTCGGCTCCAGAGCCTGTGCCAAGGGCTGCTGTTCTGGTGTTAGAAGGATGCCCTATGGCCTTGGGTTTCCCTAAAATGCTAAGGTCAAACGTGCAGAGGGAGTTGGCTGGGCAGCCATCCTATCAGGGCACCACCAGCTTCCCAACCAGCGTCTGACAGCTGACACAGGGCCCCTGAAAGCTTGGCCGACAACCCAGCTAGGGCTCCACCTAGTTCTGTACAGCTTCTACTGCTCTTGTGGGCCACGAGAAGCCTGAGCAGCATCTGCCAGGGATATATCAGGACTTCTGGCTGCAAGCAGGAGAGAAGCAGGGCTATCTTCTACCCCAGTCCTCCTTGGCATACCGCACTCACTGGGACGCCAAGTGCAGCGTGGCTCACAGGTAGCCTGATTTCCATTCCAGATCCCCAGGGGAGAGAACAAACAGCTCAGCAGACATAGGAGCAGTCCTCTCTCTGTCTTAGGCCATGCCCCACCACGTACCAGAACCTGGTGATCTCTCCATGCATCTGCGGCTTCCTGGACCAGGTCTGGAGAAGCCAGGAATCACATTTCCCAGCCACAGAAGGTGCCTCTACTGTTCCTTGTGTCTTGATCATTCTTAAGATTCCTGTCTGAAGATGGATAGCAGACCCAAGGTCTTGGCAGAAAACCCGTTTTGCTCGAGTTTATAGACAGGTCACAGACCTTCACCCAGGACCGATAGGAATGATGTGGCATGTCTTGCACTCAGGCGTCCCAACTGGCCTCAGCCAAAGATGGGACAAATGTTCTTTCTGAGAGTTCTTCCTTCTGGCGCCATGGGGAGGCACTCGTGGACCCAGGGATCCCTCCCACTCTCTGCGGCTCTGCAGCATACCCAGTGCCCTCTGATGCACCAGGCTGGAGGCCATTCTTCTGCAGAAGGGCACTGTGGTCCCTAACCCAGCTCCAGGATATCCACAGGATCGAGCAGCCACTGGATGAAATGAACCCAGAGGAGGTGCTCGGTTAAACTGAGCAAGGGTCAGGGGGTTCAGTGTCACCACTGTGGGGGCCAGCATCAGAAGGCTGAATATTCCACACAGCCCTGGAGTCTGTGCTGTCAGGAACCTCTCATCAGCACCAGCTGGGCCCAGGTTTCTCACTGCCCATCCCATGCTAGGCAACCAGAAATGCCAAGGCCACCCCTTATCCTGGAATGTAGGAGTCCCCAGAGCAGCTCCAAAGTCTCTGGGATGGCCAGTCAGTGCTTAGAAGAGCATAGACTCTGGAGCCAGTGATGGCAGACGGGTCCCCACCGGTGACAGCAGGGCCAGCCAGCCCCGCACTGGAGGATATTATGAGGGAGGCCTTCCCCAGTTCAGCGCAGAGGCCCCAGCTGCTTCTGTAGACATAGGAGCCTCACTGCTGCCCCCTTCCTGGTCCTCAAGGACCTCAGGAGGTCAAGTGCTGGTGACCTAGTGTCTGTGGGAGGCGGCCATGCCACTGGCACTGACATTGCCCTCAAAGGTGGTTCACATCTAGCATGGCTGTGGGAACCAAACAATTTGCGTCAGCCTAGAACCCCTGGGGATTTTGTGCTGAGCCCTGAAAGGGTTCTGGAGGAGAGAGCTCTCCCGGGACAACGCTTTTGGCCTTGCCTCACTGTTTTGAGGCCAACAGAGGTGGGACATAGGTGTGACATGTCCTCTGAGAAGAACTCGGGGCCTGCATTTTATCCTTTGCTATCTCCATTTACCTACTCCACGCAGCCCAGTTGCCTTTTTCGAAAAATCCCCCTCCTTCCTGCCGCTTCAAGCCACCTCCCCAGGGGAGTCCGTGCAAGCCACCCTGGCAGGCCCATCTTCCAGTGGAACACCTTGAGGGGCCATCCCAACGTAGAGCCTCGGCTGGCCTCCTTCCTGTCTCAGCCAGAGCTGCTGCCTACCCTAGGTCTCCTGAGTCCTGTCCAATTCTGTCCAGTTCTGGCCAATTCTGTCAGGGCCCTCTCCTTTCTCTGACCCTCTGGAAGCATTAGAAATAGTTCCAGCACTGGGGAAGGCAGCTCCAGGCTGTAACGGGAAGAGGAAAGCTTGGGGATCACGTGAGGATTGTGTGAGTCCAGATCCTGTAGGCTCTGGAACTTCCGGTAGCCTTCTTCCTGGGGACCCTGGAGCACAGTCTTCCCTTTGCTAACGGCTACATCAGCTTTGCTGATGAACACCATTGACATGCTCTATCTCCTGCTCAGCCTTCTAACCACCCCTTTCCATCTGCTGCTGTCCTTGTGACCTGGCCGAGACGGTGGCACACCTGCTTTGTACCACCTTACCCTCAGCTTTGGAGGTGTTCCTGGGGTTGTGCTCTGGGCCCTCAGCCTCGACCTTTCAACAGTCTCTACCTGAGATGATCTGGGGTGGGGGGGGGAGCAGGGGAGCAGATGAAAATCAGAGGAGGAACGAGGAAGGGCTGGACCCATGCAGGCTCCAGAGCAGTCAGGACGCAGGGTGGTGTATCTGGCCACAGCATTCTGCTGTGAGTTGGTCAGACTCTACCCCCGAGTCATTCCATCCGCCCTGCTCTCCCCTCATCCTTCCAAGGTCTATATTTAAAAAATCTTGCATCTGCTGCGGGCAGAAGAAGCAGAGCACCAAGAAGTTGGCCTTCAAGGTGCTGCAGGAGGAGCACAAGAAGCTGGGGCCCTTGACCTACCCCGAATACAACGTGCTCTTCTGCTTTGTTCTGCTTATCATCCTATGGTTCTCCCGAGACCCCGGCTTCACGCCTGGCTGGCTGTCCATTGCCTGGGTGGACGGAAGGACCAAGTAAGTTGACGACGTGGAGGAAGGCCTTTTAGTTTAGGACAATGCTGTCTAAGTGCCACTGTTCTCAGCAACAGGAAGCAAGAGGAGGGTGCAACTTGGGCCCTAGGTTCTGGAGCTAGGCTTTAGAGGAACGTTCTGTGGGCTTCATTCTTTCGCTATCCAGCTTGATGGTGAAGCTGCAGGTGCGTGTGTTTCTGTGGCTCCCTCAGGTCCCACAGAGGGTTGAACAAAAAAAAAAAAAAAAAAAAAAAAAAAAGCTTGTTGAGCAGGGTGCGGTTTAAATGGGCTGGAGTAGATCTCTTAGAGCCTTGGTTTCTGACATCTTCCTTTCTTATCTTTCTTTAGAACCTATCTTAGATGCCTCAAGGTTACTTGGAAACTTAGTGGGAGGGAAGTATATGTGGTTTCTCCCCGGGCTTTGATGGGGAAGCATGCAAGAAAGGTCGAGGGATGATTATCCTGGACAAGGCAGAAGATGTGAGCGAGGAGGTGGCCGCCCGCAACTGGCTACTCCATCTTAGTTACTTGGCTTAGCCACAGAGTCCATGAGGTCCAGTGAATCCAGAAGTCTAAAACTCCTGGCTAAGAAATCAGGAAGTTTGCCCACGGAGCAGTGCAGGTTGATGTGTGTGGTGGAGGATGAGGTTCTGGTGAGGGGCAGAGATGCTCACCCAAAGTTGGTGGCCAAGAATTTCAAGGTATTGGCTATAGCAAGGCTCAGCTTCCCACCCCACTCCTAACCTTGATTCTTGGGCCTCTGGTGTTTATACCTACTAGAGTCCATTTCCTCCTGAAGGAGCATTTAGATACGGAAGTGCGGGTCGGGGCAAATTTGTGGTGTGACGGTCACTGAGTTCCTTACCTGTGCTTCCCCGTGTAGTTATGTCACTGACGCCACAGTGGCCATCTTTGTGGCCATCTTGCTTTTCATTGTACCTTCCCAGAAGCCCAAGTTCAACTTCAGCAGCCAGACTGAGGAAGGTAAGTCTTCTTCTCTCATGGCTTTTTACAGTTATCATGACTGGGGTCCTGAGAGCAAAGGATCCCCATGGGGTGGTTCCTGGGTCTAGAGGGCAGAGAATCCTGTCCTCCTGAACATGACCGGCTCCATTACAAAGCCTAGGGAAATTTTTAAAAATTTTTTTAAAGACACGTGGATTCTCTTTTTGTATCGCAATATTTGAAATCTTATTTACACATCCTGGCAGGCACAGAAAGTGTTTCAAATTCTCCATAATATTTTTTTCTTCCTTCCTGTTTTTGTGATGCGCGTACATACTGTAAAGTTGTCTAAGCACACACAGCCTGAGCCCTGTCTCTTTGTTGTTTTGCGTTTTTACGTTGGCTCAGAACTTCTTTGTCAACATTCCCACTATGCTACAGCTGCTAAGTTGACCTTCTTCAACACTTTATCACATAGAAGGACCTGTAATCTTCCTGCTCTGGAGTATTTTGGGGTTTTTTTTTTTCTTTAAAAAATTTTAATATTACGAAATTTTCTCTGG